TTGTTTGGTTTAATAGATAATTTTTACACTTTTGGTTTAATAGAGAATAATGCATGTAAAATATGCGATAAAGAAACAAAAAAAGAATTATACAATGAAAATGTCATCACACAAACTAAATATTGTCTAATCAATACTTGAAAAACATAAATAAATATTGTCTAATGAATAAATTTGATATTCAATTTAAAATATTTACACTTATACTTAATGGGAGTATAACATTAACTCTAAGTGTTTGTTTAATCTACTGTTTTGATGCGATACGCATTCTACGAAGCGTTGTTCAACGATCCAACCGTCAAACTTGTTTGTACACACTCCGAGATCGCATACGTAAAAAATCACAAAAAACAAACATTAAGAGATTAGGTAACAAAACAAAAGTTTTCAACGGTTATAAACGAAAAATCACAATTTAACGGTTACTTTAGCTCCAATTTTGATGATTTTTTACAGCTACACTCCACGACCCTATAAGAATGCATTGAATGAATTCGATCTTCAATTTAAAATATTTACACTAGTGGATAAATCTTATTTTATACTTAATGGAAGTATAACATTAACTCTAAGTGTTTGTTTAATCTACCGTTTTGATGCAATACGCATTCTACGAAGCGTTTTTCAATGATCCAACCATCAAACTTGTTTGTACACACTCCAAGATCGCATACGTAAAAAATCACAAAAAACAAACATGAAGAGATTAGGTAACAAAACAAAAGTTTTCAACGGTTATAAACGAAAAATCACAATTTAACGGTTACTTTAGCTCCGATTTTGATATTTTTTACAACTACACTCCACGACCCTATAAGAATGCATTGAACGAATTCGATCTTCAATTTAAAATATTTACACTAGTGGATAAATATTATTTTATACATAATGGAAGTATAACATTAACGCTAAGTGTTTGTTTAATCTACTGTTTTGATGCGATACGCATACTACGAAGCATTTTTCAATGATCCAACCGTCAAACTAGGTTGTACACACTCCGAGATCGCATACGTAAAAAATCACAAAAAAAAAACATTAAGAGATTAGGTAACAAAACAAAAGTTTTCAACGGTTATAAACGAAAAATCACAATTTAACGGTTACTTTAGCTCCGATTTTGATGATTTTTTACAGCTACACTCCTCAACCCTATAAGAATGCATTGAACGAATTTGATCTTCAATTTAAAATATTTACACTAGTGGATAAATCTTATTTTATACTTAATGGAAGTATAACATTAACTCTTAAGTGTTTGTTTAATCTACCGTTTTGATGTGATACACATTCTATGAAGCGTTTTTCAAGGTAACAAAACAAAAGTTTTCAACAGTTATAAACGAAAAATCACAATTTAACGGTTACTTTAGCTCGGATTTTGATGATTTTTTACAGCTACACTCCTCAACCCTATAAGAATGCTGCATTGATTGAACGATTTGATCTTTAATTTAAAATATTTTTACACTAGTGGATAAATCTTATTTTATACTTAATGGAAGTATAACATTAACTCTTAAGTGTTTGTTTAATCTACCGTTTTGATGTGATACACATTCTATGAAGCGTTTTTCAACGATCCAACCCTCAAACTTGTTTGTACACACTCCGAGATCGCATACGTAAAAAATCACAAAAAACAAACATTAAGAGATTAGGTAACAAAATAAAAGTTTTCAACGGTTATAAACGAAAAATCACAATTTAACAGTTATTTTAGCTCTGATTTTAATGATTTTTTACAGCTACATTCCTCGACCCTATAAGAATGTAATGAATGAATTTGATCTTCAATTTAAAATATTTACACTAGTGGATACTTAATGGAAGTATAACATTAACTCTTAAGTGTTTATTTAAATCTACCATTTTGACGCAATACACATTCTACGAAACTTTTTTTAATGATCAACCGTCAAACTTGTTTGTAAACACTTCGAAATCACATACGTAAAAAATCACAAAAAACAAACGTTCAGAGATTAGGTAACAAAACAAAAGTTTTCGACGGTTATAAACAAAAAATCACAATTTAATGGTTATTTTAGCTCCGATTTTGATGATTTTTGCAGCTACACTCCTCGATCCTTTAAGAATGCAATGAATGAATTCGATCTTCAATTTAAAATATTTACACTAGTGGATAAATCTTATTTTATAAATAATGGAAGCATAACATTAACTCTTAAGTGTTTGTTAAATCTATCAATTTGATAGGATATGCATTCGTCAAATATGTTCGTATATACTATGAGATAGCATGTGTAAAAAATCGCAAAAAATATAATATTTAAAACATGTGTTTATTTATTTTTAATCTATATAACATTTTAAAATAATAAAATCAGACATGATAAAGTACACCAGATGTTCATGTGTGTTTATGTGCCAGACAATGTGCATTGTGACGCATTGGAAAAAATTGTTTAAATTTCTTTGTATCTTGTTGCTTGCCTGTGAGGGAGCATAATCCTTATTACAAAAATGATAGAGCTTAGATTGTAGTCTGTTGTCATTATTCTCTCAGAAAATTTATGGCTTGTGAGAATTGGGTTCATTAGACTTTACGGTCATGAGTGAATTTTTTTTTTTTAAAAAATATGTGTTTATTTATTTATTTTTAATCAATATAACATTTTAAAATAATAAAATTTTCATCTATGTCGGTTATAACCGCCAGAATACTAAAATAATAACCGCCATAAAATAAAATAATAAAGTAGTCGGTTATAACCGCCACTATTAACTTAAAAACCACCAGGATATGTTAAAAATATTAAAAAAGAAGATTCAAAAATACCGCCAGTAGTTTCTTGATATCCGCCAGGAATTTATGTCGGATATAACCGACATGATTTTTCTAATATCCGCCAGTAATTAAATGATGTGTCGGATATAATTTATCTGACAGGATTTTCTAATATCCGCCACCATCATCCGCAACCTAAAGCTAATATTGTAGTAGTGACATAAGTATTTATAGAGTTTTTTGATGAATTTTAAATATTTTTTTAATTATTTTAGCCGTTGAATTTAAATTTGAGCCATTATATCTTTTTTTTTTTACCGTTAGATTTGATTATATTTGATCTCAACCATTGGATTCAATGTATTTTAAAATAACATTTAAAAAAAATAAAATTTGAATCTAGACCGTTGGATCAACCAACAGTCCAAAAATGTCAGCCATCCAATGAACAAAAGAGCCGTTGGGCTCATGATGGTGGCTGTCAGCGGCCCTGACAGTGGGTCCCACCCTGTTGAATGCTGAAGGTGTCAGCTTGCGTGGGGCGAGTTGGGTGAGTGATCGAGCCGAGATTGGGCTGGTTGGGCGAGTCCACACACACGTGGGCTAAATCTTGGGGGGAATTTGGCTTGGGTTTAGCTTTTAGCTTTTAGCCCAAAGATTTGGCTTGGATTGGGTTGGGTTTGGGGGGGTGGAATAAATGGGGAAATTTGGCCTTTAGCCCAGGGTTGAGTTTGGTCTAAGGAGGTGGGAGAATGGGCTAAGCCTTACAATTGACGTACCATATTAATGTGGTTCACTTTCGCCTTTAATAAAAATCTAATCTAATATATCTTACTTACAAGTAAAGATAAATAACACTAGACCGTAGTACTAAGTGGAAATCCATTTACTATCTTAAGCCTACATGATTCAACTTTTAAGACAATCAACAGGCCAACAAAATTGGGTTGGATTTATCTCCAGTGCCCTATCCAGTCTAATAAAGGTGCTACATTGGTTCGGCCCGCCATCGAATTTCATCATTTGATTTTCTCTCAGATTTAACCAGTCACACCATTATATAAATCAAAGGCCCAATTCCACAAACAACATGGATTCTTCTACCTTTGTGCATTTATCATTCACATTACAAAATTTTACACTTAACAATCCAAACTTACTGCATTTTGATAATTTTCAATTCACGTAACAAGCACCTCATAGAATATCATGCATGCACCTTCTTCACTTAACATTCCACCCATTTCTTGCCAATTGTAGATGTTAGAAGTCTCAACAATTGGCCACGAAATTCACGTTTTTGTTTATTCTGCTTGTGATTTCACCTTTGAAAGTTTTTGGGTGTTACATATTATTTGATCACTCCACGACGACAAGGGAAGTTTGTGTGTTGGTATCTGGTAATATCAAGTGGTATGGTAGTTTCGTGTTACGCATACACTCAAATTATATAATGTTATGTACAAGCATTAACACTTAGCTGCTAACTTTATACACTATACTATACGGATTATAAGTTCAGTAAATTTCTAACACCGCATCGATCCATTTGTCACGTAATTTGTCTCCACATATACACTTAAAATTATTAAATACATCCACTATCAACTGATTTGTAGTTGCTTTAAAACAAATTTTATTATTTATACAGTAAATTGTCTCCACTAGTAAGAAGACAATGCAACTACATTTTTTATACAACAATATATATATTTACATTAAGGGATGGGGGAGTAAAATAGTATCAAACTCGCCATGCATGAGATTTGAACATAAAGAGAAATACTACTAGAAAATGCAACTACACTTGTCTATTTATTCAAGGATGTTCTCAATTTAGAAGAACCTAAACGAGCATAAATTATAAAAAGAAAACAAAGGAAAAGGCTTAGTTCTCTTGCCACTTAGTATGATCTAGTGGTATTCCTCCTCATTTGTAAGTAGAATATCTTAAGTTAGACTATCATGTCACTTAGTACTACAGTCTAGTGATATTCTTTTTCATAGAAGTTTTAGGTTCAAACCACATAAATGGCGAGTTCAATAACAATTTATTTTCCTATCTCTTAGTGTAAATATATCGTTATATAAAAAATAAAATAAAATAAAAAATAAAAAAAGTTTGACTCCTAGGCGAGTTCAATACCAATTATTATGGTTTGTTCTAATTCACATATATATTTAGAAGCTTTTTCTTAATCAAATTAAAATATGCATATATATGTAAGCTATTTGAACGCTAACATGCACAGAAAACCTTAATCCTCTTATAAATGTAGGTCTAACCATGCTCTCCAATCAAGTTAATCAACCCCATTTCTTACAGTTAACCCCTCGTTTTCCAATGGTAGCTATACATACATATTTGCATACATGCGTATATGCACTGCAGTTAAGCCCATCTTCTCACGTACTGTTAGCCCTCTAGAGTAGCCAGACAGGTTGCCATTCCTTCAAAGAAGCACCTTCATTCACTAACAATTAGAGAAGCTTTATGGTAGATTAACTTTAAGACCACAGGAACAATATATATGCACTGCAGTACTCAGAATTATATATACTAGTACTCACTGAATGCGATTCCTTGAAAGCCATACTGTTTCTCAGCCCATCTAAGCAAATCTAAGTACAAAAGTTTATGAGAAAAAGAGACAGATCAGGGCCACAGAAAGCGTGCATACAAGAAAGTATTGCAATAATGAGATAGCTAGACCAAAAGATAAAATGCCGTACTACTTGCAGTGATATATATACGTACAGTACTGGAAATATCATAGTTTTGGTGCATATAGTTGCCCGCCAATCGACTCGAAAAGTACTCACAAATATTCATGGCTCTTTTTTGTGACTAAATGAGGGAACTAAATCTTGCAACAAACCATAGTCAGAAGCAGGTAGCTGTTGCTGCTGCTGATTATGATGATGACGATGAGGACTCATGAGGGTTGAGTATAACGTTGAACTTGGTGGATGATCATGTTGATGACTTTGCAATTGCAACTGGTTGTCCATTGGGAGAAATTGAGCTAAGAATTCATGTGAAAATCTTGCTGATCCGCTCAAAGATGCCGATGCCAAAAGTGAATTAGGTGACAGCATTCCGACAGCGTTGAGATTGAGATTTCCACGGAGTGTTGCCGGACACTGGTGGTTGTGCTGACCTTCGTATGTTGTGATCACGGTTGATGAATCTTGAAATGATCTCTCAACACGCTTCTTTACGATGCACTTCTGTGTGGTGCATCTGTAATAACTTCTGAAAATTTAAGCAAATAACAATTAAGACTTGTGCTAGAGTTCACCATATGTATCAATTATATACACTTCTCATGTTATATAATATGATTTTGTAAGAAAGAAATGAAAAAGGAAAATTTTATGCAATGAACATATGCAAGTGGAGCGAAAATCAACCGCTAGATCAATAGCTAGCTATTAAAACAGACATTTACATGATTATTAGGGTTTAATTTGAAGGCTAACATAATAAGTATATGGAGTAAGATGTACTAGATCAATTATGAGGAGTTTGAACTTCATAATTAGATGCACCCACTAATACTTCAGTTTAATAATATTTCTCTCTACTAAATCAAAGGTCTCAGAGTTTGACTACGATGAGTGACGAATTTGATACCTAATTATAGTTCAACCCAAATCTCTATCTCAGAGTCGTTATACAAAAAAAAAACTTCATAAACTAAGTGCAAATTATTTAACTATAATACTAATGGCCAGTAACAGATACGAATTGCATATAAAAACCATTTCATCATCAAATAACGGCTATTGACTGGCCAAAAAGAAAATAACGGCTGTTGAAAAATTGGAGATTAGTTTACTAAATAATTATAAGTTAGAATTTTTATTTCCTGTAGGAATGAACGTTCAGGTACTGGAATTAAATTAAGAAATCAATATATATTAACCTAGGATAAGGGCTGTTCTTGACTGCCTTCTGTCCGTACTTCCTCCATCTGTATCCATCTTCAAGGTGATCCACTTCACTCTTAGTCAGAAACGCAAACCGTGGTTCCCTCTTCCGTTTCTCTTTCTTTTTTGCTTTGCTCCTGAATCATACAGTTTCAGAAACTTCAGTCAACATTTAGCACTACCTAATAAAAGAAATAAAAGAACTAAAAGAACAAATAAACAACCTAAACCCTGCCAGTTTCCAACAATGATCCGAGAAAATTAGATATATAGATTTTCTTGAAACTTGTTTGTACCCAAAAGTGACATATATTGTATACATGTATATATCTGTGTGTGATTAGGGTTCTAGATATAGATCCCATTTTTGCTTTTAGGGCTTAGGGTTAATCAGGAAAGTAATGAAAGCGAATAATTAAATAAATATCTCTTCAATTAAAGACACAAGGGAGAAAATGCACTAAAAAGTTTGGGTTTGAAAGTCTACCTTCAGAAAAAATACAGTCACGCTAGGGAGCCTATTTATCCATATCTACCTTAAAGCTTCTAATTAACCTTTACCATGAATCTTGCAACAAGGAACCAAACAAACCTACCCTTTCTTTGACTTGTCTTCATCATCTCCATCAGACCGTAATTTCGGCTGTTTATCTTTCTTGCTCTTATGATCTGAATCTTCATCTAAAACTTGATGATCAACAGCAACAGCAACAGCACCAGCACCAGCAGCTTCATTAGGGGAAGAAGATATTGAGGAATAATTTGGTGTGGAAGGGTTTTCAGTGGTACTATTAGTCCCCACTGAGTGATCTCCTACACCTGCTGCCGCAGCCTGCTGTTTGTTTGAGTTGTTGTCATGATCTAACGGCCGAGAAATGACTTCCGATGAGGAACACGACATGTCGAAGGCTTTCGAGAGGGTGTTGTAGTCCAATGATCCGTGTAGGCAGTCGGTAAAGCTCATGAACGAATTAGGATGATCAGATCCAAACCCATTTAGGGTTTGTGGGTCATGTGGGGGATTTTGGTATATGGAGGAAGTACCATAGTTGAAGAATGGAAAACTTGACTTGTTGATCTCATGGTGGTTGTAGTCGAAAGGGTCGTACTGGTAAGGATTTTTCTTCTCATTTGACATGGTAGAAGAAGATGAGTGAGATGAAGAAGACGAAACTTTGAGAGATGTGAGAGAGATGGGGATGAGATTCTTGCTCTGTTCGTTTGACAGGGAATGAGCTCTAGGTTTGATTTTTATCTTTGCCTTTTTTTAATAGGAGGGAGAGAGAGTGAGAGAGAGAAGAGTTGATCTGATGGGATGCTAGCTAGCTCGCTACTTTTGGCTACTTTGCACACTTGGCAGTTTCAATTTGATAAAAAAAAAAAAAATTGCTAATAGGCAATAGGTTTTTTTCTTTATTTTCTTATAAATTTCCTTCCAATTAAATATTATCAAAATATTATTTTTTGTGTTTGAAATATGAAAAAAGTATATCAGATAAAAGAGGTACCAAGAAGAGTAGTGGAAGAGTGGGAAAAAAAAATTAAGGATGGATGAATGAAAAAAAAAATTTAATGAAAACAACTTTAAATAATTTTTTTGTTTTTTGTTTTTAGCTTCATTCTATGTTTGTGTTTTTTTCTACACTTCTACATCTCTCGTCATCCTCCATCTACTCTTCTTCAACCGTCTTTTTTTTTTTAATTTTCCTTCTATCAATAACCCAAAAGGTATAAAATAAAATTAAAATTAAAAAACTAAAAAGCAAAATAATTATAACATGAACCCAAAGCACTCCAAAACACTCACTATCCATTAACGTGAGTATTAGCCCTACGTCTCAGGAATGTGAACATGTCGCGTGATGCTCGGTCATAAATTAGAATGCAACGGCTTTTACAACGTGACACTTTTATGATCTTTCGATTCAAATGGTAACTCTCATTGTATGTGTATTATCTAGGGTTAGGTCTGGGACCACAAAGGGGGTGTGGTGTGGTGTGGTGTGGTGTGGTGGTCAAGATGTACAAGCTTACACGTGTTAGGGGTTGGGCACCGTCATTTGACCTTATGTGGCACGTGGGAGTGACATTCTGTTCCTTTCCCACGCCTATGTCTTGCTGATTGGCCCCCCACGTCATCTCAGTTGCGGAAACCCCCGAATTTTGTGGTTGCCATTTCTCCTGTTTCCTGAAAGTCGGTCAAACCCATCCCCATCAAGATTAAAAGGTTGGTCAAATACCAACTTCATATGATAATTATACATATTGACAAACAAATTTGTTTGTTTTAATCTCAAAATATAACCAAAATTATTAATCTATATATGCAATAGTGATTGCATAATCTCGCATTGTCTCTCTAAAAGGTGTAGGGCTCGTTTGGAAATACTATAAAATGACTGAATGTTTTTTTAGTGAAAGTGTTTTTGGACTTTAAAAAAAACCAAATGAATCATGAAAAAACACTTGAAATGCTTGTTGAAAGAAACATACAATCAGTACTTCTTTCGAAAAGCACTTCAAGTGTTTTTAAAACCCAAAAATATTTTTTCTGAAAACGTTTTCAGTCATTTAAATGTATTTCCAAACGACTCCAGAAGTAAAAAAGTACTTATCTCAATTTCAGGCCTTAAACTCATTTGTACAAATAAGAAAAGATACTTTATAATTAAGTGATATTTATCTTCACTTATAAAGAGTGTTAAATTAAAATTTTGTGAATGACGATTTTGATACCAACGTTCAAAATATCGTTTATCTCAATTTCAGGCCTTAAACTCATTTGTACAAATAAGAAAAGATACTTTATAATTAAGTGATATTTATCTTCACTTATAAAGAGTGTTAAATTAAAATTTTGTGAATGACGATTTTGATACCAACGTTCAAAATATTGTTGTATACAAAATATATTTGTGTTGTTCAAAAAAAAAAAATATATATATATATATATATATATTTGTTCAATAGCATGTACGAGGATTCGACAAAAAAAAAAATAGCAAATATGAGGACATATTAAGTAATAGTTTTTTTTTTTAAAAAGAAAATAAAACAGACCTCACACACACACACACACATACATTGAAAGGATATTCCCGAGATTTTGCATTCAGTAAAAATAATGAACATGGGGTAAAGTGATGTGTAAGAGTCTCGGTTCAGAATTCGTAACTCTTCAATGTAACAAAAAAAAATAATGAAGACAATAATTGGAGGCAACCATCCAATTGAACCCAGTTACTACCTGCTAGATAGATTGAAACATCACGCATATTAGGGGCATTGAAGCATAATTGATCGTGCAGTATGCTGCATGCAACTCTTATTATCCATGAAGCTGTATATGATTTCATATATTAATTAGTCCAATGATTATAAATCGGAGAAAGTTGTTAGTTCTTCAATATTGACAGAAGTTTCCCTCTTGTGTCGGATTTGATTGGTTTAGGTGGGTGCATTATTTTGCAGGCATGCATGACATGCACGAACATACTTTATAAGCTAGTGAGCTGCGAGCAATTATCACTTATTAATTTAGTATGACAGGATTTACATGGTCAACGATCCCATTCTCTAAATAATAAATAAAATTAACGAAAAGTCTAAAAAACCCTTTAGTTTTAATGAAAAATGACAAATAAAAGTGTAGTGAATAGTATCAGGGAAAGGTAAAAAATGTGGATTTTCATTAAAAGTGAATAATACCGAGAGTGTTTCATTAAAACTCCTTAAATAATAATATAATATTTTTTTAGACAACAAATTTATTATATTAGGGAGCCAACGGGGTTTGAACCCGTTGCAAGGCAACACTCCTCTCTATGACTGTGGTAGAGATCCTCTTGCAACAATATAACATTTTAGAATAACTAATATATAGTAAAACCTATTTAAAGTATTACTCTGTAATGGAATAACCTCTTTGAAGTCATATAAATTTTGGTTTCAACTAGGGACTAGTAGTGTATTTTTTAGAATAAATTCTATATCGTAATAAGTTATAATTTTCCCGATCTCATTTTAAGGAAACACATATCCACATAGTTATAATTCTCAATGAGTACAAAAATATGCAAGAAATAAAATACTTGGTTAAGGACACCAATAGCAAATGAATACAAGAAGACATAAAAAACAGTAGGCCCAAAAATAAAAACAGCGAATAAAACCTTAATCCCTATCAAATAGAAACAGCCCAACACCACATGTCTCTGATCAACAACCACCGGAATACCCGCCGTGAAGGAACCAAATTCAAAATGGATCCGCAAATGCCAAGGCACAGCCAAATCAACCCATAAATGGCAAGCGTACCCTAAGAAAAGCAAATCTTCAAAATAATAGTTTGGTACATAGTGTTTTGTGTGTATATAACAAACGAATAAATATTTGTTAGTCCCATATATGTTTCCAAAACGACCTTCCACTAATCAGAATGGCTATATTGACCAAAAACATGGCTACAACTATTTTGTTTAACGAGATGCTATTAGTTAAACTGTGTGAAACCACAATGACCCATAAATAATGAAATCAAATAATATAATTCCAAAGACCAATAATAGTTTGGTACATAGTGTTTTGCTCCGAATCTGTACAACAATATGTCGTGACCAATTGATATGACTGATGTAGAAATTAATCTTTGGCATCAAAGAAATCATGATTAGATGGATCCATCAGTTTTGTGAGCAACCAGAAATCATATATGTATATATCGTACATATAACTCTTTCACTCAATTGAATTTACAGTTGACTTGAAGAATTGAAGAAGCTATCATTCTGTAATTGATCATAGTTAAGGCTGAGTAATTTGAGTTTAGCTAGAAGAAGAGCAGCACCTTAAAATGCATAGATATTTGCTCGAATCGATTTCCAATAGGAAAAAGTGGGAGTAATAATTAAGCAGGGATATATATATCGTATGAAATGTATCATCATAAGCTTTGACATGGTTGGAATATTTTTTGTGGTGCGGCTTTTGATAGGGGAAGGCATCACTCTAAAAAGAAATAATTATTAAGCCCAACTATATTGAATAAGTAGCTTGAGTTTGTTGACAATTTAGTATTCTTTTGCAAATGGTAAAAGGAGTATGCTATCTGTATCTGACAAGTGACATTGCCATTGGCATGGAGTGTTGGTCAATGAAGAGCAGGTTATTTGTTAGGTCTTGGCAGTAATCCTACACAAAATAGACATAAAGTATATATAGGATGTTGACATGTATTTTCTTTAGAATAAAAAAGCTCAGATTTGGCTGATCTGGGGGTAAAGTATTCAGCACCAGATCTTGCATTAATCTGATTAGTGTTATATAATCAAAGAATTTTAGTATTGGAGTAAAGAAACAAGTAATCATGCATGCATGACATGTAGGTTTAAAGAATATGAGCAATTAAATGCTACAAATTAATATGGGAGGTCTTTTGCCCTAAATTTCTTCTGGGATTATTGAACACTTTGAACATGCCAAACAAATTAGCTGCGCAAGTGTTCAGACCTTCGTACTCTTGGTTTAAACTATACAAATAGCTAATCTAGACTTGGGAAAGATCTCCCCTGCAAGTTGAAACTTGGTCACATGATAGAGCGTTGCAAGCAAAAGGAAATATATATTTTCAGTGACAAACAAAAAAAAAAATTCCCCTCGATGGACTTGTTCATGGCACATTATAAATTAGATAGAATTTATCGTGTTTTATTTTCTTAATGTGATCAGCTTCACAATATTGTAATCAAAATATATGGAAGATACAAAGAACATATATGATGTGCTGTAAATTAGCTAGCGTGTTTGACTGTGGATCATATAAGTGTTAAGCTCACTGTTTTTAAGTTCAAGTTAGGCAAATGAATTTGTCTAGTACATATCCTTTTTTTATCAAACTAAATACAAGATCACTAATCCTAGCTAGGAAGGCAAATTCATCCAATGTACTATTAATGTTCAAAACAAAAACAATTTTATTAAATCACCTTTAGTTTCTAGGGTTTTCAGTTAATTTGTGCGTGGGTGTGTGTCACCCTTCAAATTCATGCGGTAGCAAAAACTAGGGTTTGTCAAACTTTATAAGTGAAAGGAGGGTTCTTCCTATAAATTAAGTCAGAAGCATTCTTGACTGCATCCAACCACTAAAGGCGTTTAGATTGTAAAGGAATCTATTCAACCTTAAGCTTTTTCACTAAATAATTTCATTAAAAAAAACTTATTTCCCTGTATTGTTCAAGCTAACAGCTGCTCCACCAATGGATTAGATATTATTTTGAACAGAGGAA